GATAAAGCTGATTATCATTTCCACCTCAAAGCAAATTCCAAAAATTATAAATTCAGAAGCTGGAACAAAGAATTAAAAGTAACAGAAATTAATATTTCTTAACTTCTTCTTCCTAAACTATTCTGTATCTCATATACCAGCAAAGGGAGTACTTACAATTGCGAACTTCTTCCTATTGGGGCTCACATCCGTATCAACATGGAAAATAGGTAACTGAGGCCACATCTCACTCTTTGTGTTCTCCAGTGCAATTACTTCGTTTGACAGATACCATCTGTATACCATCATGTTCTGTAATAAAAGACACTATTTGTTAAGCATACCGATATTATAAGGGACTTGGGAACTCCATATGCCCTACATATGCAGTTGTTCCACTTACATAATGCTAATTTTTCAATAAATTCTGATAAAAAATAACTTGCTGGTAGATGACATCAAATGGGCTTTAATTTCCCTATGAATATTTTCATATTTACAGAAGAAAAATTTTCACAAAATGAACATATTTTTAATCACTATGAAAGAAGATAAAATTTTCTCCAAAATAATTCTAATTTCAAAATATTAACAAGACTTGACACCCAAATATTACATCCTTTCATAAGGGTACCACAAACATCTGGGGTACAAGACATGTGACATTATCCAATAAATTACTTTAACACTTTCCTGGGCTGAACTGGATCAAGAACATTTTCTAACTTTCCACACACAGAACTGTCAATAAGTTTGCAACAAGACTGTCCTGGTAGCTTCTGTCAACTATTCATGTCACTAGAATTCTTTTTCAAGTTTCTGCTACCAAAATGTATTGTTTGACCATATGCTTTATAGCAGGACAAAGATGGGTACGTCAAGTGTTTCCGAGAGAAAGAAAATATGTTACGTAAGATTTGAGGTAGTGGCTATGAAGAATTCTGTCTTCCGAGTATAATGCAGTTGCCCCATATTACAGATAAAATTCAATATGAAAAGCATTCCAATTCTTAATACATGATCTGTATAGATTCCTAACCAACACCCCCTTGAGGCCCAAGAATAAAACATTTCAAAGTATATAAAAAATATGTGAAGTTGAAAAGTGACTGTACTAAATATCATGGGATATCACTGCTGTCAACTTCATACAAAACTTAATCCAATATCCTTCTTTCAAGCTTAATTCCATATATAGATGAAATTACTGTGGATAATCAGTGTGGGTTTTGATGTAAGAGATCAACTACCAATCAGTTTTTTGCATTTGTCCATATAAGCAGACATTTGTCTGATGATTTTCCTATCCAGAACAGTCTAAAACAAGGAGATGCTTTATCACCACTCCTTTTCATCTTTGCTTTAGAATATGCCATTAGGAAGGTCCAGGAAAACCAGGTGGGACTGAAATTAAACGGGACACATCAGCTGTTGGTCTATGCCGATGATGTGAATCTACTGGGTGATAATTAGATACCATAAAGAAAATCACACAAACTTTAATTGATGCTAGTAAGGAGGTTGGTCTATGAAATGATAGAAGGTTGTAGAAAAGTGCATAATGAGGAGTTTCATAACTTGTACTCTTTGCAAAGTATAATATAATAGTCAAGGATGATAAGATGGGCATCGCATGTAGTATGAATGAGAAGAGGCATGTAGCATAAATGAGAAGAGGCATGCATATAGGATATTGCTGAGAAAGCAAGAAGGAAAGATATCACTGGGAAGACCAAAGCATAGGTGGGTGGGCAATATTAAAATGGATCTTAGAGCGATAGGATGGAATGGTATGGGTTGGATTGAACTGGCTCAGGATAGGGACCAGTGGAGGGCTCTTGTGAACATGGTAATGAACCTTTGGGTTCCATAAAAAGTTGGGAAGCTCTTGAGTAGCTGCACAATTGGTAGCTTCTCTAGAGGCGCTCAGCTCCATGAGTGATACTATTACATTTTTGACTTTGCAATATATCTACAATATTGCTAATGTGCCTACATGTTTGGGCAGTAAATTTCCATCCTCAGAAAAGAAACTGGAACAAACTATATAAAACAAGCATACTATTCCTTCTGGCGCTGTGATGCTGCTAGAAATTCACCATTTGGGAGAAACTTACTGCCTCCACTTTCAGTGTTGAAGAGTAACCCAGACAACCAGCAGGAAGCATTCAGTAATGCCAGGACTGTGCTTGCTGTTCGCTTGCTCTGCTTACCTTTTGGCAACTCCATAATGGATGGCTTCACCCCTCCTCCCCATGCAAACCTTAACTTACCCACAGACACTATCTAAGTCCACCTCCCCTTTAAGGTATTCCCCCTTTTCATGCTTGCTTCTTCCTTCCCATCCCTCAGGATACCTACCCTTGGCTCACAGTGACCTCCCTTCCATATTCCATGATGCTCACACAATTGCAATAAGTTAATCAACATCTTGCCTGGTAAGCATTTCAATGGGTCATCACTCAAAGAACATCAGTTTCCAAGTTTTTTTTAGTCCATTCCTTGGTCCTTGAATGGGCTGTGTGAGAATTTTTCCTGGTCCATATTGCTTCATGCTTGATTCTTCCTTTCCATTACCAAGGAAGTCTACTGTTAACTCATGGTGATCTGCACACCACTTGACCCAGTGAAAAGATAAGAAATGCTTTGCTTTCTGAGTATTTGGGTAGGTAACTGCTTGAGCATATCATTTACTGAGGGGATTTTTTATGCATTCCTTGATCCATCAAAGGGCTCTGCATAACTTTTCCAATCCACCATTCCTGCCAGCCTAGACAAGGCTCCAATCCCCACTCTATGCCTCCCTTCTGAAGTTCCTTTTCAAAACAAACTGCTCTATATACACAGCAACATGCCCATCTAAAGACTTCAATCCTGAAGGAGGAGGCAATCTACACCTCTCAAACAGTTCAAAACCACACATAAGCACACAGTACAAAACAAGCACACAATTAGCATCAACAGTTACTTATGTACTCCAGTACTTATAAACAATGAACTACAATTCTGTGAACACAAATAAACCATTTTGATATGGGAATGCAATTTTCTTTATATGGGCTATCCCACAAGAATTCTGTTCTGGAAATCATAGAAATGGTATCATGTGTAAGCAATCACCCGGAACAACAAAACTCTTTGTGACAGACACTTCAAATCATTTTGCATGGGCATGTCACTTTTATCGCAATTATGTAGACATTAAAAGCAGAATCTGTTATTCTCCACATTATTTTCAGGTAAATAGTATCTACTGTTATCATTAAAAGACCTTACTGCTTTTAAAATATCAAAGGAACCTGCCTGATGGCTTGCAAATGTTACTGTGATCACACAACTCACCAATTTGAAGATCTGTTAAGTGAATTTGTTATTAAAAACTCAATTTTTAATGTTGTAATAAAACGGGTTATGTCTGAAGGCACAAGTGAATTAATCCTATAAACATGCTCTTCATTCATATGTGAAAGAATAAAGTCTTAGACCTGGATGGCTGTATAATAAGGCTATACCGAGATAATTGCTTTTAAATTATTCCCCTAGCTAGATAAGGTTTAATGAATGCAACACTAATACCAAACAACCAAGTGAACTGCAAAATTAGTTAACCCTGATGTAAAAGTAAACGCTGGAGTCAATGTAGGGTTTAGAATTGAAAGTAATGGAAGAATTCTTTTAATGGTTATTTTACTGGTTATACGCAACAGTACACAACACCAGCACCTTTTCTTAAAATATATTGTTTGAGTGACCTGAAAGTTGGGAAAATTTTTGTACCATTCAAACTCCAGTTTTTGCTTTGTAGTCAATACAGAAAAACAAACATATTGTTCCCATGATTCCTCCAACATTTTTAGCAGCTTCCATTATAAAACCATTTCAACAGATGGTGCTACTGTACATCTAGTACAACCAGACAAGTTTAGTAGAGTTGAGATAGGAACGATATGGTAGTAGATGTAAACTTTGTGCCCACCCTCTTCAATCAATTCGTCAATTTCAACCTCAGATAGTATTCTATATAACATTTTTTGGATTAGGTACATTAAGTGCCTTGACAACATGAAACTTCCAACATCTGAATCCTAGGTCACATAACACAAGCTTGACAGTTTCATTTCCACCATGAAAACCTATGTCAATATCCCTAATGTCTGCTAGAATGCTCTTCACAGTCGCTGATTCACTTACATAAAATTTTATGCCATTGCTTTTAAGGGTCCACAGAAATTCCCTGTTGCTGTTTGTTCTACTCTTGGTCTTTTTCACCTTGTGAATGTGAGTAGTGCTACCAGCACGACTGCTCTTGAAGGCTGCATACACCTCCAAACTGTAGACAACATTTCCCACAGACACGTGGTACAAAGACCCAATTGCAAAATCAACATCAATATTATATCAAAATTTAGGAAAATTTACTTTCCAAATTCCACTTCCCATTCAAAAGCAAAAATTTTACTTTTCGAATATCTCCTATAGCTTATTTACTTAATATTGCTTTTTGTGAAATCAACATCTCTTCTTCTGAACACACCTTCCTTCCTTGTGTAACTGAAATTAGTTGTTCAAACATAAAAAATTACTTCTCAAGTTTAAAGACATTCCAGTTCTATTCCTGTATTTATTTTAATCATGTCTACTGAAGTCAAAGTTTCTTGCCCAACAAACTGCAGGTCCCAAATTCCTTCTGGGTTGCTCAAACTGGCTCTTTATTTTTCATTTTTCAAACTCTCTTCTTTAAACCAAGAAAGAGTGTCTCTACTCGCCTTCATATATTACGACTTTTTCATGGGACGTCTCAAAGTCATCTCCGGTTCGTCACTCTAACCTCCTCAGTACACAAACAGCAGCCAATCAAGACATTATTTATATGTGAAATGTTTTTTACAACGCCATTCTCGTGTTTGTACATTTTGTGCAGAACAAATAATAAAATTTAAAATTCCATTCCTAACACCACAAACATGGTAAAATGCCCCTTTAAGCGATCATACAGAACATAAATTTACATCTAACCTCAAACTGTTTTTATGCGCCGTAAGAGCAGAAGAGTTCTTTTTTATCCGGAAGAAACTCAAGTCACATCAGACAGCTTCTCCATTGCCACGAGATAGAAATATAGAACGTTAAACTTACGTAAAATTAAGAATAACGACACACACGGCCCCTGCATCCTTGTCAGCGTATTATATAAACGATGTTGATAATCAAAGATGACAATTGGCCTACCAAGGCAATTAAGTGGAATACTTCGTTGAACACACCACAGAACTATTCATCCTCAAAGATGCACACGCGGGATACTACGTAACCAAATTCCAGGTCCGGCACGACTCTTAACAAGCCATAATGTGCATGATAACTGATAACAAGCTTCATAGTATCAGCTGCCAGAACCCAGTATCCCACATTATTTTGTGTTGCCATAAGATATAATATTGTGGCGACTGTGACATAACGGCGAAAGTCGGAATCATGGAACGAGAACAGACGTTCGTTGCTATGCAGGGGCACAATAAACACGTTTCTGCTGCAATAGATACAGGCACAAAAATAGCGAACGCAATGTTGTCTATGCGGACGTTCATGGCAACAACCTATAGACACGTTTCCACAGCAACGGATCACCTCTCAACAGTACACGAAGACGTTCTCTGTTTTGTCCGCCCCAAGGCTACATACGCGAGGACAAGCGTTCACGTAAACAGCGAAGAATTGATGGTTTCGTGTGACGACTCACCGTTGGTAGCAGCCAATAATTGTGCTACAGAGAACTCGAGAAATAGCTCCAGCTCTAAGAGAAATCATGGTGAGTGTTTTCTGCTTCTTTGCAGGATATGCAAGTCTAGAAGACCCGAATATTTTGTGACAAGACTGTGTTATTGTTCATAATCCATGTGGTCACAATTTTATGGGTGGTTGCAGGTATTGTAGCAGTTTAGCATAAGCATATTACAATAATAAATTGAAAAAGGGTGTTGTGTGAAAGCCATACACCTCATTTCAAGCATTTAGTTGTATGATATGATTAGGCAGCCAGAGGGCTAAAACACCTCACCAGACACAAACACCATGCAGAAAGAACATGGTCCAGTTACAGTATAATTGTATTTGTTGTGTTACAGAGCATCGCTGATTTGGAGAATGTACAAGGCCTATGTAGTGAGATATGGCCAGCATCTTCTCATGGTTCATATCAGGCTGTCAGTATAAAAACTGAGGTATTTGCAGATGCAGAAGGAGAAGAGTATCTGATCCCGACAGCATTTCCAGGGATAAAGGCTGAACCTGAGGTGAGCTGTGTTCTGTTAGGTGGATTTCACAAGTTCAGGTATCGCTTGTTTTACAAACTTCGCTGCAGTGAACAACTTATGTTCATAAAAGGGTTCTCTTTGCCAAGCACAGAAATTCTGTAGATCCAAAAATTTATCACATTTTCCTTGTCCATTCAATCCAGTAAGGTTTTGCTTTTGAACTATATCATAGGACTCCCAGGATATATAATTGTTGAAGAGTGTCATATATTTTTTCCCTAACTTCAATGCAATCAGTATCCATATAAGAGAGAGTTGTCCTTATGTTGAGGACCTGTAACAGGATACATAATGATTCTCTAAAGATTAATGACAATGATTTGACAGATTATACAGGTATGTTGGACATTTCCCATTGTTTGAAGAATGTTTAACATACCTGATAGTTTGGGAGTTGCCTCTGTTTCTTCCTCTAGGTGACTATCATTGTACTGATAGATTTTGTGTTATTTTCTAAGTTGAGGTTAGTGGCATAGTTGGGATTAAATATTGGCTTCTCCAAGATACTACACACTTCATCCCACAGCTGAAGACCATGGTAGTCACTAGCAGAAGGAAGAGATTTCTTAAGCTTTCACAGCAATAGCAAGCTATGACTGGATATAACTGGCACAGGACAAAGTTGGTTACTGTGTGAGGAATGGCCCTGAAACCCTCAGAAGGATTCAGATCACTTCATTGGTTTGTGTTGCAAAGGCAAACTCTCCTTCTAACTTCCCCAGTAAAGAAGAGACAGCAGTTTTAATATAAGCTGAGTTGCCAGATGATGGTCACATTTAATCATATGTATCATGATTTTACTGCCCACACTTGTTGGTTTCTTATAACAAAAGATATTACTTTAAGAACTAAGTTTTCTAATCCCAGTGTGAATAAGTTTGATCAAGTTGTCATAACACAATCCTTTCAATCAGTATCTTAACCATATTAAATTTGATAACAGTGCAATTTCAGAGTGACTATTGGTAAATGCAGACTGCTGGGCATTTTACCTGAATGAAAAGAATTTCTTCCCAGCACAGGGGAGGAAGGAGTCCCCAGTCACTGATTAAATACATTCATGAATTAGAAATCTGTTAGTGGTGCTGTAATTTCAGATGGTGGAAGTGAAAAATATGTGAATTGTTATGCCCTGATTGAAAATAGTGAGCGATGATAATGAAGCAATATGGTGTTAGTAATGTAGATTTTGAATGGGAAGGCTTGTAACATTAAAGGGTGCAGAGAGACTTTCCAGTGTAGGGTTTCAGCAGCAGAATGCAGCAAAGGACATGGCTCTTTTGAGGTTTTAAATAATAAGTCAGTAAAGATTTTTGAAGATATAGTAACCAAGGCTGAAAATTTACTCAGCATGATTCATTAAACTGCAAGAGGCCTGCTGTGTTTGAAACAGTAATTTGGACCCAGAGATTCATATGGTGCTATGGGTTTGGCATGTTATATCTGTGTGTGTCTCTTCTCTGAGTTTGCCTAAGAGATGGCCTACATCTGAGGGCTCAATAGAGGATCACCATATATGCTGATGAACTGTTTGATAAGGGGTTAACTAGTTGTACATTTGTCTGTGGAGATGAGGTTTTCTCCTGCTGTTGCATAATTTTCATAACCTTTACATGGCCCTACTTGGTGACATACAGATGTGCTTCATCTGACATTAACCTTTTCATTGTGATCTTTGCATTAACACACACTATGCCTTGCAGAGTTTCCTTGGACACCCGTGAGATCATCTGGTTATCTGTATATTGTGTCAAATGTCCCATCTCCAAAGGACAGGGAAATGAGTTGCCTTTTGCTACGTATCTCACCCTGTGGGCGTGCTGACCAGTGAGACTACCAGTGCAACAAGCAGCTGCATGACTAGAACTGCCAGTGCCTAGCAACACTGCTTGTTTAGGTTAATACGATCTTGCTTTGAAAAAGCACTGTAATTGGACTAGTGCAGACAAATCATTTCTGTGGAATCTGTTGCATTGGCAGTTGTGGCAAAGTTGAACTGAGTAAAGTGTTGATAAGTGACTGAGTGTAGTTTCTCCCTAGCAGCCAAAGTAGACAGACTTGTCTATACATGTGTGGTGTCTCATCCTGCTAGCAGATAAACACATGACACAGTAGAAGTAATGAACTACTAGCCTTGGAGCTGAGCATTCCAAACCACTGCAGAAATGATGGCAGTCCATATGGGTGACACACAGAGTGAGGCTGCCATTCTGAGCCAATATTTAATATCTTAAGACAGTGGTAAAGTGATAAGAGTTAGATGATTCAAATCAACAGATTTTAAGTGATATTAGTGTTCAGTTGCTGTCTTACTGTCATTTCTTAACTCAGCATTTATTGTTGTTTCATCTAACGTTCATATCCCCTATTAATCAGACCCCTATACAGCATTAAAAATGCATATTATTATTTAATTTTGTGATCTGTTTCATAATGAAAATTTTGCTTGACTTTTATTCACTCACAAACAGCCATACAAGCTGATGGACACACAAGGACACACTCCCATCTGCACTCACTCTCTTTCTCTCTCCTCTACCCCATGCCTCTTTAACCCCTCAGTGTACTTGGTTTTCAAACTTATTTATGTTCACAGGAGATTCTTTCATGTTATATTTTCTTGTTTTGCAGGTCATTGTGTGTGAGCCTGAAACTCTTTTACTTGAGAAGTGGCCATTTTGCCATGATGTGGGTAATAACTCATTTGGTGATCCTAGTTTTATGAAGAGACATAAATGCCTACACAGTGTGGAGCAGCGATTTTTCTGTGATGTGTGTAATAAGTTATTCAGTAAGCAGTGTGATCTGAAGACAAATCAATGCATACATAGTGGGGAGAGGCCATTTTGCTGTGATGTATGTAATAAGTCATTCATGCGTCAGTGGCATCTGAAGACACATCAAACCATCCACAGTGGGCAGCGGCCATTTTCCTGTGATGTGTGTAATAAGTCATTCAGACAACAGGTACATCTGAAGACACATGAACGAGTACACAGTGGGGAGCGACCATTTTGCTGTGATGTGTGCAATAAGTCATTCAAGCAACAGGGTCATCTGAAGGCACATGAACGAGTACACAGTGGGGAGCGGCCATTTTGCTGTGACATATGTAATAAGTCATTCAGTGGTCAGACTAACCTGAAGTCACATCAACGGATACACAGTGGGGAGCGGCCATTTTGCTGTGACATGTGTAATAAATCATTCAATCATCAAACTAATTTGAGAACACATAAATGCATATTCAACAGGCAGTGGCCTTTTAACTGTGACATGTGTAATAAGTCATTCAGTGATCGGAGTAATCTGAAGTCACATCAGTGCATGAATAGTAGGTAAAGGACAGTTTATTGTGATGTGTGATAAGACATTCATGATTAGGGTCATCTGAAGAGGCATCTGTGGGAGCGGCTCCCTGATAAGGGCTCAGTCAATCCAGACATTTTCTATCCAAGTACTCTGTACTCTAACTATAGCACACAAAATCTTCAATGCCTGTTAACACTTCACAGCTGAATCCTCACAACTCCTTTCTGTGACGGCTTTGTGTCGACTCATGGCTTCTCAGCTGCGACTCACTGTCTCACACATAACTAACTCATCTGTCAAAGTCAAAGCCAAAGCCAAAGAAAATTGTATTATGTGTTGTAATACTATAGTTTTAGTGTTGGCCATATTTATCTGGTGATATATATTGTTCATAAGTTGATACCACACCCACTGCTACTTTCTTTCTGTGTGTACCTTTGGTATCTTGTAATGTTCATTCAGTCTCCAGTAAACGTTAGATTTGGACGAATGCGTTTCATTTCTTATCCGTTTTTACCTCGATGATCCAATGTGATTTCACAAAGGAAACAACATTATGAGCAATGGTCAGTTGACCAGTCTATCTTGGAATAAACCCCCCATCAGGGACTTAAGACCAGATTCTTATTACTGTATGATAGTTGCAGTTTTGTTGACATGGGGCGCTCTCCCTGATGAGAGGCCAGGTCTGTTGTTTGCCAGAGTCAGAATATGCAGTAATAAGTCTCTTGTTAGTATGCACAATTTATGTTTTACATGTTATTAAATGTGTATAAAATATATACAAGGCCTATGTCATTCCAAGCTCCGTACAGCAGATCATGCCATTCGCATCAAATGCCTTGAAGGGCCTATGAAGTCTATTGGCCATTATGCTCTATGAGATTTAAGACAATTTTTGTAATGGCTATCATTTTAGCCTCCTCTAACACAGCACCATTAAACTCGGGCATAATCTGCAGTACCCCCGTTACTGCTATTTTCAACATCTCCAGAGGCCAACTGTTTACATAAGGGCACGAACTGCCTGACTTGTGTCTACTGTACATGTTGGGGTAAGGCCGCAGGGACCCCGAGTTCAATTCTGGCAGGACCTACCACTGCCACCTGATGTGTCTGAGGCTGCTACTCTTCCTCTCTCCTGCCTTGGAGCACTGGCACAAAGAAGTGGTGAGATTTGAAGGGAACAGCCTTCCCATTGTAGTCCTGGATGTCCTCTGCAACTTCCTTTTCTGCATCTCCTCCTTCACATGTCTGCAGCCCCAATAATTGGCAGGATGCAGGTCTTCTCCTTCCACCAACCAACAGTTGCAGCAGGTTGAGGTGGGTATTCCCTTTCTCAGGGCACTCCTTGCAATTTGCCCAGACATGGCCGAACTGCTGGCAGTTATGGCACTGCATAAGACCATTCTGAGCTCTATATATGCCTCCGCCCTGATCGCAATGTGGCAGAGGCTTCACAGTCGGAAAAATTTCTTGGGATTTTGTGTCCTCGGCAAGGTTATTAGGTTATTATGGTTGATACAGGATACATATAAAGAAAGCTTACAGGCATTAACTTCTTGTAAAACTATCACTGTGAATATCGAGATAAATGAGTACAAGATCAGTGAGAAAAATCATATTCTTTTAATCAAAGACTAGAAATCTTAATTTTATTGCATAGAATGAATGGATAACTATAATTTTGCCTCTGGTTCTGTAGGGGCGTGAAACGTCGTCTATGACATTAAGGCAGGAACATAGACTGAGGGTTTTTGAGAACAGGGTGTTGAGTTGAGGATATTTGGACCGAAGAGGGATGAAGTGACAGGAGGTTGGAGAAGTGGGGGTGACATGAAAATGTGCCAGGTCACTCCCGTCAATACCAAAATATACAAAAATTCATTGTTTTCAGTAAAAAAAAATATGAAGTGAATATTACTGTCTTCTGGAATGTGCCATATAGCCTGGTAGGACGTTGGAAATATTTTGCAGAATTCTCTCGCCTTCATCTTCTAGGTACACTCTTCTACCCTGAATACAGGTGCAGTAGGTTCATTTGCAATACTTGAGACTTTATGCCAGATTACACTGCACCACATTCCAGAAGACAAGAATCGCCATATTTATCGCCTTGAAAAACTCTAAATCTACAGGAGAAGAAGATGACATCAATGGAAGTTAGCCCTCTCTTTGTCTTGGAATTTGAATATCAGCTTTTGCTGAAGGAACCCCTAAAAAATAGCAGAACTTAGTGAACCTTGTTTTTTAATGAAGTTCAGCGTAAAATTGACGTAGCTGTCTTTCCAGAATGTTTCAAGTTATGAGGTTAGCTATTTCAGATGGTTACTGATTTTAAAAATTTATGGTTGAACTTTGTGTTCATAGTTTGCATAGAAAAATAAAAATATTTAAATATCATTTGCAAGCCTTAATTAGATATAAACAATATATCATATACATATTTTGAAATTGCTTTTAAGGCTACAGAATAACAAAGGATGCTGCAACTTGGTAGAATGGTTCTCCAGATCCTATATAGAAGTCAGACAAAACTGTAAATACATTTTATTGTGTACTGAGAGGAAGGAACCGAAGTGTGCAGGTCACTCATCGACTGTCACAGTCCTGAAGATCTGGTTTGGCCCACCATGCTTGGGGAAGACGATGACGGGTGCCCCAGGCTCTGTGCTGCCTTCTGATATGTCCAACACCTGATCAGTCTCGCTTCTGATAGTGCCATCCTCTTCAAAGTGCCACAGCTGATTTGGGCCACCATGTGGTTCAAATGTGGACACATTTCCAGTTTCCTGGTTCACATCCAGCACCAGTCTGAACATAAATATTCCAGAGATTTGGACCCTTAGAATTTTTTGTGCTTTAGGTCAAATAAATTAAATAACTGCCTAACACACATTTCCATTAGCTATGCAAATGAATGAACTGTAGTCATTTCTGCATTTATTTAATGATATTGTCAATAATTTGGACTATATAATTTACAATGTTTTAACAGTAATGAATGATGAACTGGAACAAATATGGACGGAAGTGGTCGTGGCATAGTTTAATGCACTGCTTTTGCACTTGGCCGGATGGAACCTCTGTCAGAATAGCCAGAGTGTGGGCTGAGATTTGAGTAGTGTACTTCCTGAATGTAAATGAGAACCGTCGGTGCTTCATCCAACATGCCCAGTGAACGGATGAATGAAAAATCGACTGCGTATTTGACTGACTGGTTAAGTGGTTGCCCAAGAGATCAACAAAACATCTGTGCATCTGGCTGGCTGACTGGCTGGCTGGCCTAATGGATGTCCAAAAGAATGACCACTGTCTGTTCGACAGACCCTAAAACACACTGGGCGAATACTGGACTAGGCAGAACGAAACACAGAGGATATGTCTATACGCTAACATCCAGAATTAACCCAAGGATCCATTTGAATTCATGACTGACTGATTAACTATGTAAGCAAATCTCCACCAGCCAAGAAATGAACTCGGCTAGTACAGAATCTTCCTTTACCACTCAATGAACGTTACATTCTTAAATACGATGTTCATCTAAATCCTACTTAAAAATTCAGTTACAGCACAGAAAATGCAACCCATCTCCATTAAAAGAATTAATCAGTTAATAGTGTTTTGTGAAGTAATCACTGATTTTGTAAGAATTAGACTAAGTTCATAAAACTTGTGGGTCAAAATGCTAAAGTAAGCAGATGCCGTAACTACCGTTCTTTAAACGATTAACTATTCAAACTATTTATCTGGTCTAATGGGACCAAAAATTCATTACTATCATCATAATAGCAGACCTTTGAACTCTATTCAGAAGTTTTTGTATCATTAGCATGACAGTTTTTATACAAGATTTATATATTTGTTATATCTTGATACTCACAGGATCGTTAAATAACAGACTTTAGAATAGAGTACACCTGCTGTCAGGCTCCTTTCAGGCTGATGAATTTGACTGTTTGACATCATCATAACCAGCAAACAACTCACAGCCTTCAGAGTATGGCAACGTGATAAACACTTGTAACATACAGACAAAATAATAACAATATTGATTTTGAGGTTCTCGTGCCAACTACGAGGTCTGTCTTCTAGGACATAACACACACTCATATAGTATAGTATCATCCGGGGCTGGCATAATAAGCCCAGTAGTGGCCGGGATACCAAGAAGACTAAGGCTTACCCCAAAATATGAATACTAAATGGTTACACTCAGTCTTAACTGAAGAATCAAGGTTCTATTACCCAGACCCACTCAGTGTCGTATTAAGTGGAGAAAAGAATTTTTTCATGGGGAGTTTGAACGGCTGGGATCCTACCGCCATTTAGAGCAGAAGTTAAAAAAAATGTGTGGAGCTACACCTCCAGTCCCCATACATATCCAAGTTGCTGTAGTTAATTAAGGAAAGGAACAATTTTACATTTCAGTGTTCAGTCGCAGTAACTCAGAGAGTATAGCAGTAATGTTCGGATACCGTGTGTCTGTTCTGTGTCAACATTTTTCTATGACCACCATGTTCAAAACGGCTGTTTGGTCATCTCATTCCATGAAGCGTAACACATTTGCCTCTCTTTCAGTGGAGGAAGTAAGACTGTTTGAGTAAAAAATTATCATTTCGTGCTATTTGCTAATTTTTGTAGCCAACAGTCTGCCTAAAACCTCCTGCAGAAATACGTAAAAGCTTATTTAAGTGAATGCCAAGTAACAGCCGGCAGGACGCCCATTTCAGTTATACATCTGGTGGTAACGAAAATGTGGAATTTTATTTTAAGGGGGCTCAAGGAAATGCCTACATGTGGATGGGGAAATTTGCACTGTTGCAGCACTGTTAACTGACGTTTTGTTTCCATTAAGGTATACTTTTATATTCTCCCGATTTCCCTGGAACATGCTTTTATGTACAGATGCAGGGGTCTTTTCTCAGAAACTATACATTATAAATCTATTAAATTTATATCAATAATTACACTATTTGCGAAAATACTGACTTTCTTTTACATGTCTTATACCTAAAGTCACGATGTAAAAAAAAAGTAAAAAGTAAAGCTATCGCTGTACCAGGCCGTGAAGGCCCATAGGGTTGTGAGACGTTGAGGGTCCCACATTATCTAGACAATCGGCTCAAAGATGGCGGTAAGGTTGTCACCCTTACTCGCCGGCTGCGCTTTACTGGCCAGGAAAATTATTTAAATAATTCCTGGTACTCATTTCTGTTAGAGGCTGAGTAAACGCCAGGGCCATAGTGCGGCTGGAAGGATTAGGTCAATTGAAAAAAAAATCCAATTACCTCATCGGGACTTGAACCCGCGACCTTCCGGCTTGTAGCATAGCCCCTCTACATATTTTTCTATCGCAACTGTTTATAATAATTAACAAATTTGAAAGAAATCTCTTTAATAATATATTAGATCGATAATTTTTCAACAAAAATAAAAAATACCTCAGTAACTACACACCAGATTTCAAGACTGTAGAATTTGTAGTTGTTCAGAAAAATTCACTTTAACATGACAAATATTACATTGCAAAGATGAGTATAAGTATGAGGGGTGAGCCATAAAAACCGGCCCTCGCACGACGACTTTCAATGATCTATTGTGCTTCCCCTTTGATTTAACCCTTTATTAATCCTACACTTCGAATGAAATGTAGGACTTTGTTTACGGGGGCGTCATAAGTCATTTGGTTCGATGAAAAATTGACCCAGGTGACGATATCTTAGATAAACTATAGCCTCACAATCACGTAAGATGTTTGTGGCTGATTACATTGCAAAGATAGGGCTTACAATATAAACGTTCGTGCCTTCTGGGCGGTGTGCTTGAACACAAGGTTAACTTTCAGTGAACTGTATGGGTAATGAGAGTGGAAGTGCGTGCAGTACGCACCCGTTCAACTTGCTGTAGATCATGCCGTTCTTGTACTCCCACAGCTGGTTGGCGCCCCCGTGGTAAGCAAACATGATCACTTGTGCTTCTGCACCCTCCTCCCCTCCTTTGACGTCCAGCACTAGCTGAGTTTCCGTGTTCTGAATGTAGAACGGCATCTGGACATACACCACAACTTATATACAGGGTGTATCACAACTCAAAGGCATAACTTCAGGAACGGACTCCTCATATAGAGAGAAGAGAAAAAGTATATAACATGGGTCCGGAAATGCATACAATTGCAGTGTAGTAATTGTGTCTGCACGCCACTGAAAAGAATTGGCGACATGAGTGTTTTCTATCGGTGGGTCGGCCTTTCACTGGGAAACGGCTCTGTGATTATCATGACGTCACCTGTGATTACTTCGTGATACATTTTCCTCTGCCAATTCTTTTCAGTGGCGTGCAGACACAATTACTACTCTGTAACTATATGCATTTCCGGACCCATGTTGTCATAAACTTTTTTCTTCTCTCTATATGAGGAGTCCGTTCCTGAAGTTTTGCCGTTCAGTTGTGATACACCTGTATAACAATGTCTGAAGTTCAGGACGTTCAGGCGAATGCAGCGAGAGGAGGCTAGAGGCTGAGACTGTGGACGTTGAGGCGAATGGGTTCAGGTACATTTAACATACTTTAAAAAATTATAGGCCTGCTGGTGACTATGCACAAAACTCCGTCAATAGAAGGCACTGTTTCCAATTCATGGAACAAACGAGCATCTAACTGTTGAATGAAAACTGGCGTGAATGCAATTGGGAGGCGGTAATTCAATCATTCCACCTGCAGCTACGAATTACACTGTTAAGATTGCTGTTTTCTGAAATGTGACGACTTGCAATCTGGTAGATGGTCACTAATTCGTAGGAATCTGATTCCTCAAACTATACATTACAGATGGAAGCAAAAGTTACCTCCGAATCATTTCCTGCCTCCAAAAGTACACAGCTTCTTAAACCAGAAGGCAGTGATCTTCATAGTCAAAGCCTTGAGATCCCCAAATCCTAAATTCATTGTTGTTTGCTTAACTGGATTTGGGCCTAACGGATAGAAATAGAATTAGAATTTTCGGAGAATTTCGAAACAATAAATAAACTCGCCTTACATTAGACTTGCGTCCGTCCGTCTGCTGGTCCTCGCAAAGTAAATTGTACCTGAATCAAACGATTTTGATGAAAATTGGTCTCCCAAGGGACTCACGAGCATATTTTACTGTCTCAGATTCGAGACATCGTTTTACGTCGCCTCCTACGACTCTCAGGCCTACGGTGGAGGTATTCCACCCTGTCTCCACACACGATACTGCCAATTCTCAAAGTAAACGTCAGAGTCACTTTACGACTGGCCAGTTCGTCTTGGTGTCAAGCCCCTTGACACAAACGATCAGAGATCTTTTCTCCAACTGAACCTTTGCGGTTTCAGTTCTTATGTAACATCCTCTCTGACGAGAAGATGGGGTTGTCTGTCATGAGTATGCTTGGTCTTTCGTCAAATGTACATTTCGCACATATAGCATGTTACTGAAAAATTGTTGCTCTTACCCTACGCACAAGTCCTTTATCAGTACAGGCTTTACAGAGCGGATCGTGCCTATCGTATTTATCTTATGCTACAACGGCAGCTTAGTCACTTGAACAGTCGTAAGCTTGATTATCTCCAAGTTTAAGCCTCTTATATTTTTACTGCAAATTCCCAACTGACTCTCTCAACATAACCACTTTGCACGGACGGAACAGAAAACATCGCTTACAATATCATGCTGTCGTGTTTACAGAACCATTGCTTAGAAAGGGATTCTTCTATTGAGGCATTCATGTTCATTTCCTCAAGCATCTGTTTACCGAGCCGTTGCCTAGCAATGAACTATTCAGACTTTCAGACGTCATGTCACAATATGATAACGGGAGTGGCGTTTAGAAGACCAAAATGATGACGACCAAGAGCTGGATGAGGACACTATAAAACTTCGGAATTCCACCGTAACAAATAAAAGTGAAGTGGGATTACCTTAACGAATCTTACTCGACTTACTTGTAACAGCGAAAATGAAACTGTGAGTGCGACCCATGAACTAGTAACGCAGCGATCTTGTCAGGAGGGGCTGAGGAAAACTGAGGCAAACCTTTAACGGGATGGTCAGCATCCCAGCCGACAATCACCGCGAAACACTTCACACATCTCGCTGAGAGGCAAGCGTGGGAACAGCAGTACGTGGACAGCAATTAGCAGAGTTCGGTACGTCGCATGTACTGTGAGGCCTCTGTGAGGTGGCCGGTTCCGTGGTGCTTGGCACGCAGGTATCAACTGCATACGTTAAAACCAGGAGTTTTCACACTTAGTCATAAAGCGACCCCCTTAACTAATTAACAAATTTAAGCGACTTCTCATGATGTACGGTGACAGCAGAACCCAAATAATTCTGTAAGTTCGCTACGACCGACTTGCCAAAACTGTGCATGGGAAAACAATATTTTAAATAATTCCCAAAACAACTCAGTGACCCCCACGAAAACAGTTTGAGAAACTATGGGTTGAGTAGGTTGGAACAGAATTGAGGCTGCTGAAATGAAATGCACGAAAGGTCACGAAAGGAAAACGACATTATTAAAAAAAATTAAAAGTAGAACGTATATTGAACAACATTTGGAATACAAACCAGCTGGATTCAACATGTCGACGGAATGCAAAGAAATGGACTTGCAGAACTATATAAAAATCACAATCCGAATTGATGTATGAACCTATAAAGATACTTTAACTAATAACTGGGCGGATGAGGCCGGAACAGGTCAACAAGTATCCGCCCAACTTTCTGGCTGCTAAATTAGAAGATAATGATGGCCAAAATGCCATGAAACAAGCTCAGCAAGTGGAGAAATTTCACGCAATTTAAGGAACCTGAAAGTAGCTTAACGTGTTTCAGGAGCCCGCCACAGGGCTACCCTACGGAATTTATGGCATGCAATGGAAAATAATGACCCATTTATGATACTATCCTAGTATCTACTCGGTTGAAGTGATTAAATCCACACCCATTACAAAGATGGCAGGACTGGCTACGTCTGGGCCGAGCTTTGAACCAAGAATGGAGCAACTTCGCAATACCGCGGTCACGTAAAAACGCGCCTGTTGCTGAATTCAGTTTTCAGTTGGGCCTCACATAAGTCACTGTAATAGTGATGCTTGTCTAGGTTCATTAGTGCTAGAAGCAACAGTCATTAGGTACTTTCTGCAACAGGTCACAGCTCTTTAAGACATATGATGTAACTAGAAAGTGGTATATAGCTCAGGTAGTATAGTGACTAGACTGTGATATAAACGACGGGGAAATCAGGGTTCTACTTCTTGCAAGAATAAGGGCTTTTCCTCGCCAGTCATTCCGACTCTGGGAGCCACCCAGCCTAACCGATGGATACCGGAAGCTCTTTCCCCGGGGATAAATCGGATGGAGATGAAGCTGACCATTTTTTTTAATTCGCTTAGTGGGCGGTGGAGTCCAACTGGGTCCACTCGGCACGGCGGCCACTGATTGGCCCATTGTAGCCTGCCCCGGGTGATTATGATGATGGAGAATTTGGTGGAATGAAGATTGGCAGGGGAAACCAAAGTACTCGGAGAAGACCTGCCCAGCGCCACTTTGTCCACCACAAATCCCACTTGACCAGACCCGGGATCGTACCCGGGCCGCCGCGGTGGGAAGCCAGCGACTAACCGCTTGAGGTATGGCACCGCCCCCAAGCTGACCACTTACCTCCATTTAGTGTCGAAGTTGCCTCAATTACCACATGTTTTCTTGGCATGGTAATTAACCTTACCAGGTAGCATTTTGGGCACAGTGCGTGATACACGGAACAGGGAGACCTGGTAACTATTCTGCCCTGGTGTTCTACAGTCACTCTCACCACCAACAGTACATTTCACTCTATCCCGACACAGACAACATACCCTATATCAATTTTGACCCCTCAAGGCAGTGTCTACCCTATGTATCACCTGCTTCATCATTAAAAACACCGCATTCTGTCCACATCCTATTTGCGTTTAGTACGAATCTCGAAACAAATTGTACACTGTTTCTCTTTCAGTACCTGGCTGATTTCTGTAACGGAGCGTTGCAGAGCGAGTTTTCTACGAGGCGAAAAATGGCTTTTTAAATATTATTTAACTGCGCTTCAGGCTCTTAAGTGTTAATATTACAGTCTCGTTTTGTAGTGAAACACTTACCTCGAGCGCCTGCCACAAGCTGCTGTTAGTTCACCTGTTTGACCGGTGAGAACTGACGTGATGCCAGAAACGTTTCATGGTCGGTCATAATTCTCTTCGGTGTAGCGGTACACTGAACAGGGCTACCAACTGCGATGAAATAAATATTGATATGCGTCCGTAACGTGAACTTCAGTTGTAGCAGATGACCTCGGAGGGGATGTGAAGGGTTCAATGGCTATAGATAACTGTCTGTTCTCAAAGTTGGCTCTCTAATGTTGTTGCTTTACATAACGTGGTTTAGGTCTTCGATTCTCAAACTGGCTGCCCGTCGGCCTAACATGAAAAAAAGACCGAAATGGAAGAAATTGATGTTTCGTGCATAGTTCTGTTACTAGATGGTTGCAGAACTTCTTCGTTATCATATCGACTGTGTGAGTGTGTCTGTTCATATACACAGGGGTCGGCAAATTTTGGTTCAACTCACCAGTCACAAACATTCTATAGAAAGTGCACCCGAACACTTACTGACGTTCCAAAACGGAGGCTCGTGTTCCTCGTTTGTCCACCATTAGCCCACCACGTGGAACTGCGTAACAGCAAACATAAACATCTCGCTACAAGATTTCTGTATAAATAAATTGGACTGTTGTCGTTTCGCTATTCATGCTGAATTCAAAGCACCATCTGGTGCAACAAGTCTTTATTAAAAAAAATTCTATGTATTCATTTTATGCGTGGTTTATTTAACGATATTTTAATAGCTGTACTATATAGCATTGAATTAATGGGTGTATGAAAATTTGGAAAAGTATAATTAGAATGATCAAGTCGTGGACAGGGCATGTAGCAAGAACGGGGGAGAAGAGGAATGCATATATGATACGGGTGGGAAAGCCAGAAGGAAAGAGACCACTGGGAAGACCAAGGCGTAGGTGGATGGACAATATTAGAATGTATCTCAGAGAGATAGGATGAGATGGTATGGATTGGAGTGATCTGACTCAAGACAGACCAGTGAAGGGAACTTGTGAACATGATAATTAACCTTGGGATTTCATGAAATTTTGGGAAATTCTTGAGTAGCAACACAACTGACGGATTTTCAAGAAGGGCTCAACTAAATCTAATCAAGATGCTGCTTTATTAAAGGCCGCCTGCTTTCTCGTAACATTTTTGTTCCATTTTAATAATCTTCATTTTCTTTGTCTCCCAAGATGGCTCACTGCAGATGATTTGTCTGTTAATCTTTCGTTTCTTTGCCATGTGTATTGCTGGTCTAGTTCAACAAAACCTCAAACCTCATTTTTTTTATTGCTAGTGGGGTGGGACTAAGTCCCTTGTACTGCGGCCACTTCTGGCCTATTGTACCAGCCCCAGATGATAGGTGAGGGTGATTGTGGAGCAATTGGTGGAATGAAGATTGGCCGGGGAAACCGAAGTACTGGGAGAAAACCTGCCCCACCGCCTCTTTGTCCACCACAAATCCCACTTGACCAGACCCCGGGATCGAACCCGGGCCGCCGCGGTGGGAAGCCAGCGACTAACCTCTTGAGCTAGGGCGCGGGACTAACAAAACCTCATACTTTGGCATTTACTGGGTCAAGAAAATTAAGAATATGAATTCGCTTGTCTTACTTAAGGACGCAGTCGCTCTTCATACTTGAGTTCGATTGTTTTGCGATCGACAATAACATGTTGCTTTCCGTGCTCCGTGTTCCCGGTGCACTGTAGCCTTCCGCGCAACTCCTCCCCCAAGTTCACTGTTAGGAAGGCATCACAGTCCGTCGCTGATGGTGTTTGAGGTACTACTTCTGCCTTCCGGCCCTATGAAGCTGCTGTTTTTATTTTCCATTTTTACTGTTTTTATAATTTTAGTAGCAGAAAACGATTTGAATTAAATAAATTATTGGCCTTCTTCGAGTTATGCTGTAAGTATTAAGAAAATTCTTTGAAATGCTCCTAATACATCTCCAATTGATAATATTATTATGGGGGTTTCAAATGTGTTTCAGTCAATCGTATGAAGTTTAATCACACATTTTACTGAATATGCCTGTGTTCCAATAACAAGTGTAACAGACTTTCTTCCTAAATGTTACGACGGTGTAATTAAAATATTATGTTTTACAATTTAGTTTTGTTGTCGTGCTTCGGGCCTCTGTATATAAGGATATGATTATAACAGATCGATTTTCGGTTTAAAGGAGAAACATTTTTAGCGTCTGACAAAATGTTTCTCGTATTCTACTGTAAGGGCTTACGGCAGTTAAGCGTAAGTAAAAGGCTGTAGTAGAGACAGACTGACTTTAAAAATATCGTTTCAAGTTAAATAAGGGACATTTTCACGTGTCTTCAAAGTTAAAATGTTAGTTACCGTCACGGATTAATTCTCATCTACTGCATCACCGCCTTTTGCCCATAATTTCATGAAAACTTCAATACGGTTATCAGCAAATATGACACGAAATTAAAAATAGAGACTAATTTTAAAAATTGGGCTCCAATATATGGAATATTCTTGTAATACTCTGTCCAGTTTGACTGGGAAAGGTGAACGTGCTTGAGATGGGGGAATTGCATCCACATTCGGAGAGATGTGTAGGGATTCGGGAAGGTTTAAATCTGTAGCTTTTATGACAGGGCTATTAAATTCAATGGTGGAGGGGGTGAATTGAAGTTCGGAAATCTAGGATTGTTTGTATTACAAAAATCAAATATAAAAAAATGCATTCAACGAGATTCTTTTTCGTATATTAGATAGGGGCTGTTACAAACCAAAACCTGATTCTGAAGGAAATTAAGAGGAGATTGAACTCGGGTAATGCTTGCTACCATTCAGCGCAGAACCTTTTGTCTTCTCGTCTGCTGTCCAAAAACATAAAAATTAGAATATACAAAACTATGATTTTGCCGGTGGTTCTGTATGACTGTGAAACTTGGTCTCTTCTCCAAGTATAATTAGAATGATTAAGTCAAGGAGGATGAGGTGGGCAGGGCATGTAGCAAGAATGGGGGAGAAGAGGAATGCATATAGGATATTGATGGGAAAGCCAGAAGGAAAGAGACCACTAGGAAGACCAAGGCGTAGGTAGGTGGACAATATTAAAATGGATCTTAGAGAGATATGATGGGATGGGATGGATTGGATTGATCTGGCTCAGGATACGGAGGCCTGCGAAACTTCTGAGGTACACACATCAAGTCAGTTGGAGTAAAGGGGGATGTTCCTAGTAGCATGGGTCAAGTTCGGTAAGTGAAGGAGCCACAACGGTTTGAAAGTAAGATGGAGACGTACCAGATAAATTGTTTTTGGTGAAGCAGCTATTCCCCAGAAAACGTTAGGTGTTTTATCTTTGTAAGGAGACCCGCATTTTTTTTTCTGTGTGGTACAAATCCGTGTGGCCGGCCTTGGAGGCCCATAGTGTTGTGAGACGTCGAGGCTCCAACATTTTCTACACAATCGGTTCACAAACGACGGTGAGATTGTCAGCCTTACGCGCCGGCCGCTCTTTACCTCCAAGAACATTCCAAGAATATTCCTGGTACTCATTTCTGTTAGAGGCTGAGTAGACCCCAGGACCATAGTGCGGCTGGAAGAATTAGGTAATTGAAAACAAAAATTCAATAACAACATCGGGATTCGATCCCGCGACCTTCCGGCTTGTAGCCTAGCGCCGTAACAAACTACGCTACCTCGTGTCCCGATGTCTCACATACAGTTTCAGATATTATGGAGATAAATTTTAGGCAATTAAGGCTTTAAATACGTGAAGTTTTGTCGGACAGTGAATCTGTGTCTCCACAGGATGAACCCAAAAGAAGTCGGGACGTCGCAAAGGAAGGGACGTCGAGACGTCTTTCGCAGCAGCAGCAGCAGCAGCAGCAGCAGCTCATCACCGGTGCCACACTACCAGACATTCGGCGTCCGCCACAGCAGTCATAACAAGTTAGGAAATGTATACATTTTGTAACGATTGTGTCGTGTTTTCTTCTGGATATTTAGACTTTCTATGCAAGGCGAAAGGGAATGCCTAATGGGGAGGTCACGTCCATCTGTTTGCGATCTAGAACCAGCTCCTAAAACCTTGGGCCGATGCTTCAAAAGATCACTGTTTCAGGTATTTCCTTGAAATTTTCTAGCGGTTCCGATTTTCAGCCGTATTAACCAATACAAATTTGCCATGTATGTTTTACTTACTCATGGTGCTGAGCCCTTCTGGAGGAGCCGCCAATTCTGCAGCTACTGAAGAATTTCCCAGCATTTTATGGAACCCGAAGGTTCATTACCGTGTTCACAAGAGCCCTCCACTGGTCCCTATCCTTGCCATGCATATCATAAACCGTTAATCAAAGGTGGGGAAATTCAACATGAGATATTTTTTAATGACGTTAATCGGCCCTTTTTAGAGTTGGTCATATTGACAGACTACAAAGCCTATTTTACGTAAGTCTACAAAGGACATTAATTCAATGTGTAAGTTGTCAAGCTGTAACAATTCTTTCTTGTGAAGAATGCTGCCGTGTGAGATGAGACGCCATGCAGTCTTGTAGATTTCACTAATGTGTCCAAGGAATATATAACCTCCGTCCTGAAGGCCAAATAGCAAGCTGCTTGCTCACTCGTTCTCTCTGCTTATACATTGAACCTGAGGAATGTGGCATTACTTTATTCCGAAACGTCGATATACTTTTTTTTCTTGGCACTACAGCCCCAGTGGGCCTAGGCCTACCTCCATGAACTTCTCCGTTCACTTCGGTTTTTCTAGATCTTACACATTCGGTAGGACTCCTTGGGCGGGTGATCAGCTCGTCGCAAACACAGAAAACGTACACACACAAACTAAACATCCATGCCCTGAGTTGGATTCGAACCCACGATCCCGGTTTCCAAGCGAGCGAAGACAGTACATGCCCTAGACCTCTCAGCTACCGTGACCGGCCGATATACTTATACCAGAATATATTTAAAATAATTAATTTTTATTTACTGCGCCTTTATTCTGTGTGTAGGTATCGGCCTTGCGACGGGCTAATCCTTGTGCATGGAGTCCAACCGACTGTGTAAAATATCAAGAAACTGAAAATGCGGCCAATGTCCAAAATAGGGCTCTGGATGGATGGATGGATGGATGGATGGATGTTTTCTCGCAATAGAAGTAATACGACACTGCCATCGCTGGTCTTCCGGAATTAGGCAGTGTGTAGAATCGTGACGTTTCACACGCACTTACAGCGCTGCGATTCTCTTTCTGAATTCGGACCATTACTTCCACTGTACTTAATGTAATTGGTTTCGGATTTTGCTTTCTCACGTACATAGTACGTAGAAGAATTGCGATATTGACGGATTGACCCGTTTGGAAGTCTTCGAGAATCCGAATGAGCGGTTTCTGTAATGTCTGTCTTGTTGTCTGTACCTACGTTTGTGTGCCTCGCTTACACCCGAACGGTTGCACGGAGTTGAGCCGCATTCCGTATTCAAGAACTTGTCCTTCTTAGGCCTGTGACCGGTGAATACCAACGCACTAGGTCCAAAACAGTGGTCTTACATATGGGCACAAAAACTAAATGGAGTTTTTTCTCCAAAACAGCCAATAACAATTTGAATTAAATTTCAGTAATTTATAGAGACCATCTCCCTAAATGAAACACCGCGCACGGTATTTTCAGGACAAAAAACACATCTACCAGGAGTCCAAATATGAAATGTCGAGTTCATCGAAACTGGTTTCACCGGGCAGACGGATTTCATTGTTGTACGGTATTCAGTGTTTTACTGAGCAGAAATCGATATCGTAATCGAAGTCAAGGTCAATTCGTACATAAGAAAGTATGTGAAATATCACTGCACTGATTTTTATTTTGGAAGAAGGAGACAGTGAGATATACACAAATACTGTGTTCTACTTGTCGCCATGCTTGTGCCTAGTCGTTACCGGATGTGGATATTTGAGATTAATATGACACTTTGGATTAATCTGATGGTTCTGGTGATGGAATCATTTCTGTTACTTCTGACTGGGACTAGGTAGTGAGTTGTTCCTCTAAAGCTAAGTTATTGTGTTTAGGCTTGCTTTGGATCGAAGAATCCAGACGTACTTTTGGACAAATGATACTCCATGTTTGACAGTTGTGTAAGGCAAGAAGTAACCACAGAACACTTCGGGTTTAAGACCCTTCTTGTAACATATAACTAATTAATAAACTTTTAATAGTTGTTCCAGTATCGCTCGGGCACGCGGTAGCGTAGTTGGTTGAGGCAATATGCTACAAGCCGGAAGGTCGTGGGTTCAAGTCCCGATGAGGTCATTGGATTTTTTTCAATTGACCTAATCCTTCCAGCCGCACTATGGCCCTGGGGTCGACTCAGCCTCTATCACACATGAGTACCAGGAATTAATTAATTTTCCTGGGGAGTAAAGCGCGACCGGCGCGCAAGGCTGACAACCTTACCGCCATCTTTGAGCCGATTGTCTAGATAATGTGGGACCCTCAACGTCTCACAGCCCTATGGGCCTTCACGGCCTGGTACAGGGAGAGCTTTACTTACTTACTATATGTTTATTTCCACAGATCATCAGACTCTTCTAAGAAATATGGCAGGTGTGCCCGAAAAATCCCTCTGTGGTCCAAGACAAGCCATAACTTAAAGCACACAAAATCTTCGATATC